CTGCAGCTGTCGACGACCGACGAAGTTGTCATTGCGGGGAAGAAATAATCAAAAATAAAATCCATTTATATTCAGAAGAAACAAAAACATATTATATTATAGGGCGTATGTAATTTGCGCCAAAAACAACCCAAAAAAAAAAAAATATATGTAATTTGCGCCACATCTAAAATTGTATTTTGGTAATTTGCGCCACTTTTTATGTTTGTAATTTGCGCCAAATAAAACTAAATGAAAAGGCAATATGTAATCTGCGTCATCGTTTACCTACAAAAATTGTAATTTGCGCCATAGTTCACCTTATTGAAATTGTAATTAGCGCCACAAGTAAAACGAACTCCATGTATATTAAATAAGTAAATTTTCTATTTAAAACATATAAAAATCAGTCATATTATAATTATAAATAAATGTATACAAGTAAAACGAACTCCATGCATATTAAATAAGTAAATTTTCGTTTAGTAATAAAACATATAAAAATCAGTCATATTATAATTATAAATAAATGTAAAAATATTATAATGTATAAATATAAATTTTCGTTTAGTATGTACAATTTTCGTAATATAACATTTAATCTTTTGAATTAAAATACCTAGTTACTTATAATACCTAGCTTACTCACGTTTTTTTTTATATTTATAGCTTAATGAAGAAACTAAGCATTTTCTGTCAATTTTATTTTGTCTTAAGTCTTCATATATTTGTTGAAAAGTTTCCAAACGAATTTTATTTTTAGTAGAATTTCGTTTTTTAAGATGTATACTTTTAATTGTAATCAAAGTTTTGGTTTGAAATCCTTTCTGTACGTCCAAAAAGTGGTAAATAGTAGGATGTGGGTGATAGAACTCGGAATTGAAACGTGAATGATATGATTCGCAAGCATTAGTAGTGACTAGTGAGATCTAGTGACAACAATATTGAAGTTGAATGTGTGGCGCAAATTACATATTCCATTTCGTTTTCTGTCGTGGCGCAAATTACCAAAATTAATTTGTATATGTGGCGCAAAATACATATTATATTTTTATATTTTGGCGCAAATTACATACGTCCTTAAATGTACCTTTTGATGGCGCAAATTATAGGTAATAAAATTGGCGCAAAATACGATCTCCCATATTATAATATAATATTATTATTATATATATGATACCCACCCACTCTCATAAATGTAAAAGTGTACGGTTATTTGTCTATATTATTATGTTATAAGTAATAACTCATACATAATACATATGAAAATATAAATATTATTAAATATAGAAAAATTTAAATACCTATATAAAGTTACAAATAAATGTAAAATAATAATGTTATATAATTTATATATTAATGTATTAGTATGCTTGTTTATTTATAGAGAATTTTTTTTTTGGCTAGGTTTAATACTTTATACATTATCAACTCAGTTTTTACAGAAAAAAAATAAAATTTCTTTAAAATCTTAATGTAGACGTAATTATCATGGGGTGAATTGTGCATCTGCCCAGTTTCCCGATGGGCCAGTATCTATATACAAATAAAATATATTCTATCTATCTTCATCTTTATACATATAATTATTCAGTACGGTCTGTAATGGAACTCCTTATAACTAGGTACCTATATAATATAATGCATTCGGTAGTGTTGGGTAAATTACTTATGAAATTACGTCGGTAATTACATTAAATGTTTTTATTTAAATTACATCACGTTAGCCGAAATTATTTTTATCCCGTTACTTTAATTTTTCATTCAAAAAGTAGTGTTAAAAAAATATTTAATTAAAAAAAAAAAAAATTACCAGCCAATAACGCCTAATAAGCAATAGGTTATTGATATTTACAGTGACTTGTAAATTGGGTTACTTTACTGCACAACACTGAAAATCGGTCACTTTAATTTCTTGTCCATATTCCTAACTACGAGTTCATCTCTATACTCAATACGTATTAAATTCTGTATAAGTCAAAGGGCCCAAAAATAATTGTCTAATCGGTAGATATGGGTATTTGTATAATATAGGTACCTACAAGTTACATTGTACAATTTGGGATGTGTACAACAATCACTGTAACAAAATGTCAGAAAATAAAAACACCTAAATATTATACAAATCATAACTTAACCACGATCATAGATTTTCACATAAACAAATACCTTATACTTATCTAAGAATATTTTATTATTATTACATTTATAGTTACATAGATATTACTAAAATGAAATATAAATTTACATAGTTCGACAATTAATATGTCAGCAAGTGAGAGTTGTTAGTCATTTATTACTCATCTTTATTATTAAAATAATGTAATATTTTATCAAGTCATTAGAAACAGTAAATATTTAAAAAAAGTAAATACATAATAATTATAATATTATGTTAACCATTCAGATAGTCACATTAACTAATGCAATAAAATGACCCAACTCACTTCTGAGGATAATGATATCCTCTTATCCATGAAACTGGAGTACTTAATATTAAAAAAAAAATTATAACCATACATTTTTACACATTTAATTTTTAGTTTTATTAAATCTGATATTGACGTTTTGTTCCGGTGAAGTCACCACTGAAGATATTATAGTTTCTAGCTCTTCATATTACTATTTTCTGGATTCATTCCTTTATTGTATAATATATGGGTTAAATTTAAATTAAATGATAAATTGCATAAGTACAAAAGATTCTAAGCGAAGACCGTTGGTCACTTGTATACTATCATAACTCATAATACCAATATATTATATGATTATACTGATTTCATATATATATAAATATATAATATATATTCACACTATTGTTTGAAAGGTTAAGCAATCCACATTAACATAATGTTATGTAAAAAGTACAAGGAAGTACTACGATAAAATTGTTTCACTCAAATGTATTATTTACATTAAAATAATCTTTAATCATAATAATGTGATCCGCCATTTTGTATATTATATATATTTACATTGTTATAGGCACTTGAAATGTTAAGCAAACAATCTTATTCAACATAAAATTAAATCATCAGAAATATGATCAAAGAGTAGGTAAATAAAGCATATTATGTACAAAGTACCTACTACGATAACATTATTCACGTCAATGTAATATTTACATAACAATAATATTCAATTTTAGTAATCACTTTAAAATTGTTTTAGTAAAAATGTTACAGGCTAGCGACGATTTTACCTCTAAAAAAATAGCATAAAACTCCCCTTCAAACGGACGAGAGTCATAATATATATAATTTAAAGGCTGACAATCTCAAATTTACCGTAATATTTTTTCATATTGCTTAATGTATAGAATGTGCCCCTAACTGTCTAAGGCTCAAATTTTAATATTAAATTATAATTTATTTGTATAGGCCTTGAGTCTAGCCGTCTAAGGCATATGTGGCATATATTATTGCTATTATTGTTACTTGCGGTTTGAGTCTTAAATTGTTATACCCCTATAATATTGCATAGGCTGCTAAGGCTCAAGTGTATTATTATTAACATTAGCTATCAAGCAAAAATTATTAGGGTGTCTTGGTGTCTCTCAAGGATATACCCATTGCGATGTATTCTGAGATAATAAATACATCATAAATCTGTTTTTTATTAGACTCACGTAGACAAGGACTAATTCAGGCTTTGGACCAATTGCGTCTAAAACCAAATTTGAATTTTAGGGTCAATATACCAATTGCGCTTCTTATATTTTACGGTTAGTGTACCAATTGCGCTCTTTATATTTTACTGTCAATATACCAATTGCGCTTGTATTCAAATTTGCCTGATATTTATTGAACAATTGATTACTAGCTAAAGTGATTGGTTTTAATATATTTTATAACAGTATCGGGAATTTTATGAAACATTATTATTATCACGCACATATTTTGATCACGGAAGTATGCATTTGAGTGATGTACGAAAACAAGTTTTCATTATCATCGGATATATTTTATCGGCCTAATTGTTTCGTTGCACACAATATACAATATAGTATATTCAGTATATAGAATAACACGTCGATGTTACCCAAAACTTATTTCTTGTTAGTCTCTTGGTATTAGTTCGAGTTGTTTTACGTTACAATATGGATCGTTTTACAAAAGCTCTGAGTGAAAAAAGTAAACCATTATAAGTTCTAGATGAGTTTAAGTTTCGACAATGTAACATCTCAAAAAACGGAATAAAATGGAGATGTACAATTAAATCGTGTACTTCGAATTTTTTAAGTGATCTAAGTGAAACGGTACTTTTAAAATCGTACTTTGATCATAACCACGAAGCAAGTGTCAATATAAATAGACAAATTGTTGCACATTCGTCAAAAAGAAAAGCAACAGACCAAGTTACAACACGACTGCTAAAATTAATACTAGCAAAAAATCGGTTAATATGTAATAAAAACCAAAAATATGTACATATATATATATTTAGGGACGGTACAATGAAAATGTGGACCGATCGATCGGCGTGCAGAATAGCAAACAGTCCTGTACTCCTGTGCATACTTCGCGCGTCGTGCTCGGTTCAACGGGTAAAGGCTTACATAACTAACTAGGTATACGTCGGCAGCTTATCAGCCACTGAAATTTGATTTTGGTCATTGGAAGAAACGATAAAATTTATTTTATTTTCTAAAGAACATGCAAGCAGAATGCACAGCTATTTTATGGTAACGAAAACCGCTGTGACCACTAGCTCAAACTAGGACAAAACTCGTATTTTTGTGAAAAGTTGCTGATGTACCGGGTTGGTCATAACTCATGAGTGAGTTGCGAGCAGTCTACTTTCTACCGCGCGCAGCAGTAGGTCTAACACATGTCCTTGAGTAGCGTCGGGAATGACGATTATAAGAGCACGGTCCGCCCAGGGATTGAGGTTTTAGTTCCCGTCGTGCTCGCATAACGCGCTAGTGGTGACTACCACCATTTGCGCCGAGTTGACGACGATCGAGCCGTAGCAGCGAAACGAAAACCAGTTGTGAAACGTTGTTCGCCGTGCTTGGTTCATCTGTGTGCGTATCTTAGCGCAGTCAGTCGTGTTTTTTTTTTAATTTATTCTTTTTTCCCGTCATTCTAATAATCCTTTCAGAGTTGACTTTTTTAATAACATAGCTTATTAGTTATCATCTGGATTACGATTTTTTGTTTTCTAGTTTTTTTTTTGTAGTAATACACTTGTCCAGTTGATTTTCACCACCAATGGTGGATGTCTGACGCAAACCCTTAAGAGTGTAAGATCACCGTCGCTGTTATAACCGGAAGAAGCCATGTACCCTGTCAGACAACGTGAGTAATAGTCATAGCGCACTCACACACTCACACACGCACGGTCACATTTCGTATAGCTCTGTGTGCGAATGGATCAATAGAGCCACAAAGGCACCTTTATTACCAGAATAATATCACGTTAAGGGGACTAATGTGGTGTGTGTTGTGTTTTTGCCATCTCCAATTGCGGATCCCACCCAACCCTTAGTAATTTTTGGAATTGAGAAAAAAAAATTTGACAGCCTTAAATAAAACATTTATAAAATCCGGAAGAACACACAATTTTCGGCGGTTTGACGTCATTATGTTTTACTCAATTATGTTTATTCAAAAGGGTTTAGCTCAGATCCGGGATCCGCTTTTCATAATTTGGGGAAAATAAAAACTTAACTAGATTTTCTCTTAAGTGGCAGTTATTACTCTCGTCAGATTGGTGGTTCTATTTTTTCAACAATTTGTATTGAAATATATTCTTTCTGAATGGATATTAAAATCCCGAACTTTAAGAAAAATTACCTGTCACTTTACCAAATTTTATATTTACTCTATTGCATTCATAATTGTTAATACTATTTCCATTTTATATTTTAATTACTTATACAATCATAATTGTCTGGATGTTATAGTCCCTGTGCCACCTGTTGATGCCCCAGTTGTGCCACCTGGAGCAATGGGCGTTCTTCAACCTCAGGTTCCTGGATTGCAACTACAACTAATGGATGTACCAAGTAAAATTTTATAATAATAATTTAAAATTGTATTCTTTGTTTTTAAAATTACAGTTGTTTTTGTTTATTTATGAGCTATTTGTCATTAAAAATTCTTTGTTGTAACAGTATTCAACCATCCTTACCGGCCAAACATAGGACGAGAAGGCCGATCAATTGTGCTTCATGCTAATCAGTTTAAAGTATCAATGCGACGTGATTATTTATATCATTATGCCATCAATATTCATCCAGATAAATGTCCTCGAAGAGTCAATCGTGAAATTATTGAAATTATGGTTCGTGTGTACAGTAAACTTTTTGGTAATCTTCGTCCTGTATTTGATGGTCGCAAAAACTTATATACAAGAGATGCATTGCCTATTGGAAAAGATCAAATCGAATTAGAAGTATATTTTTTCTTTTAGATAATTTTATAAAAACATTTAATTTTAATAATTTATATTTCAGGTTACTTTGCCCTGTGATAGTAAAGATAAAGTATTCCATGTTAATATCAAATGGTTAGCTCAAGTATCATTACTAGCTTTGGGTGAATCATTAGAAGGTCACACAAAACAAATACCATATGATGCTGTTTCGGTAAGTTCATCTTATTTTACTTACTTTTAGTTAGTAACTAATAATGATTTATTGTTTATTATTTATTTTAATTTCTAAAATGTTTGTTTTGTAGGCTTTGGATGTAGTCATGCGACATCTTCCATCAATGACTTTCACACCAGTAGGTCGGTCATTTTATTCTCCACCTGAAGGATATTATCATCCATTAGGCGGTGGTCGAGAAGTTTGGTTTGGTTTTCACCAGTCACTCCGGCCATCTAAATGGAAAATGATGCTTAATTTAGATGGTAATTTATTAAAATAAGATTAGCTTACCTTCATTGACATATTTCTTTTTTTAGTGTCAGCAACAGCTTTTTACAAATCACAACAAGTTATAGAACTCATGTGTGATTTGTTGGATATTAGAAATATTAACGAACGTCGGAAACCATTATTAGATTCAGAAAGAGTTAAATTTACAAAAGAAATAAAAGGTCTTAAAGTAGAGATTACACATTGTGGAGAAATGAGGAGGAGATATAGAGTTTGTAACGTAACTAGAAAATCAGCTCAAATGCAGTCGTAAGTTATTAGTTTTAAGACTTATTTATTTTATCATACATTCTTTGAAACAATTTTTAGTTTTCCATTGCAATTGGAAGATGGTCTCACAGTAGAATGCACAGTGGCTAAATATTTCTTAGAAAAATACAAGATAAAACTACGTTATTCACATTTACCATGTCTTCAAGTTGGAGATGAACATAAACATACATATCTTCCGTTGGAGGTTTGTTTATTTGGATGATTAATATTTTTGAATACATTGTAGCAGTATTTAACTACCTACCTTAAACTTATAATTCAGCTAGGTACCAATCAAAATGTACTGATTTGCTTTACCTTTTTTTACTTGATATACTATTATACTATATTATAACATATAGCATAATGGTGTTTAGCTTGTACCTGCTATTTAAATTGCTCTAATAATAAATTATCTAGGAAGAACTAGACAATTAATCAAGGCCATTGTTAAATTATACATAGGTACAATGATGCAACTTATTTATTTTATTTAAGTCTTGTTTAATTTGTTCTATATGTGTCAGATGAAACAATTGTTGTATCTGAAATAACTTATGTATTATAACAGGTACATATAAAGTCTCAGTATATGATTATATGTGTTATGTAACAGGATTATAACGTAAATCTGTGTTTGGTATTGTTAACTTCTTTCATTAGGTCTGTAACATAGTTTCGGGTCAACGATGTACTAAAAAATTAACCGAATTGCAAACATCAACCATGATTAAGGCAACGGCAAAAAATGCTCCTGATCGTGAACAAGATATTAATTCCTTAATTCATAGAGCTAATTTTGTAAATGATCCATATGTACAAGAATTTGGTCTTAGCATATCAGACACCATGATGGAAGTGCGTGGTCGTGTTTTACCACCACCAAAATTACAATATGGCGGACAAACTATAGTTAAACAGGTATGAAAATGTGTCCAGATTTTTGTCCACTGTTTACATTTTACATTTTGATAAGAATCCATCACTAAAAAATATTTGTTGAGTGGTACTAGTTTAATTCTACAAATTATAATGATTTTAGGGAGGATTAAATGGACAACAAACCAAACAAGCCACGCCAAATCAAGGAGTTTGGGATATGCGAGGCAAACAGTTCTTTACAGGCGTCGAAATTCGTAATTGGGCAATAGCTAGTTTTACACCACAGAGAACCGTGCGCGAAGAGTCGTTAAAGTAACTAACAATAATTTTATAATTATTTTAATGGGAGAACTGAATTATTTAACAATGTATTCTGGAGGTTTCTAAATGTTTAGTCTTTTGCTTCTTAGTACGTATACTGTATACTATTTATTTTATAGATATTTTACAATTCAGCTACAAAAGATAAGCAGAGATGCTGGCATGCCAATAGTTGCTCAACCATGTTTTTGTGAGTACAAAATATATATAACAAATTTTAGTAATTTTATTTGACTAAGTATTTTTCAACAGGTAAATACGCCGTAGGGACTGACCAAGTAGAACCTATGTTTCGTTATTTAAAATCAACATTCACTAGTTTACAACTTATAATTGTTGTTTTACCAGGGAAAACTCCAGTATATGGTATTTTATTTTTATTATCTTAAGAATTTGTAATGTTTCCAATTTTATTGATTCAAATGTAAAAATACAATATTTTTATTGATTATAATTAGCTGAAGTCAAAAGAGTTGGAGACACTATTCTAGGATTGGCTACACAATGTGTTCAAGCAAAAAATGTAAACAAACCATCACCTCAAACATTGTCCAATTTATGTTTAAAGATTAATGTGAAATTGGGTGGTATCAATAACATTCTTGTACCAAGCATCAGACCCAAAGTACATAAACTTTTAAAAAACCAATTGTTTCTTATTAATAGTTAATTTATATTATCATCTAGGTATTCAATGAGCCAGTGATATTTTTGGGTGCAAATGTAATTCACCAACCATGTGAAAGTAAAAAACCATCCATTGCAGCAGTAGTAGGATCCATGGATGGACATCCCAGTCGTTATGCTGCTACTGTAAGACTCCAACTATGTAGACAAGAAATCATTCAAGAACTTAGTTCTATGGTCAAGTATGTAGCACATTAAGCTTTATTTATTATAATCATATGACTAATTATCATATTTAATTTTAGGGAACTCCTGTTTATGTTTTATAAGAGTACTGGAGGTTTTAAACCTCATAGAATTATATTATACCGTGACGGAGTATCAGAAGGACAGCTGTTTCACGTATGTTAAATTTCATATGTATAGTAGAAACTAGTTGTACTTTTTTTTTTAACAAGAGTTGGCTTTGGTACTATACTTTAGTTTTATGTTTTGAAACTACTAGTATCTTGAGCATTGAAGTATATTCAAGTACTCAAAATATATATAATATGTATGCATATTATTAAAGTACAAGCAACCTAATTTATAAACCATATAGGTAAAAAAATATTAAGACACTGCCAGAGTAATAATTGTTAATCCTCTCAGACATAGATAAAAATGCATTCACATAAAATCTTTTTTTTATGATTTTTGAGTAATATTAGAGTCAAAACAGCCATTCCAAAAATTATAGGTAGAGGATAATATTTTTAAGGGTTTGACATATCAGTTTTATATTTTATAATTATTTAGCTTTGTATGGATTTTCAAAATGAAAGAAAAAATTTGAAAAATTTAAATGAATTTTAAATTTTAGACGAATTGGTAAGTCATATCCTCAAAAATATTATTCTCTATAGTTTTTTTAATGAGTGAGTTTACCCTAAGGTTACTTAAAAATATAAAAATAAACGATTTTTACGTGAATGCGTTTTGTCTATGTTGTGCATGGGCCAAATAGAGAAAACAAACAGTGCAACACTTAAAGCCATAGATGTTTCTTTGTCACATTTTTTTAATGGTTTATGGTTGTATTATTATTTATTTTCAAATATTACATAGATAATCATTTATTTTTAGACGTGTTTTCTTAATTTAATTTATTTTGATTGACATAGGTCTTTCAAAATGAACTTACAAGTATTCGAGAGGCATGTATAATGTTAGAAGGTGATTACAAACCAGGAATTACTTTTATTACAGTTCAAAAACGTCATCATACCAGGTTTGTTTTTTTTTTAGTATTTCGAGTTTTATATTTTTAATAAATAATTTAATTTTGTTATAGATTGTTCAGTGCTGATAAAAGGGAACAAATGGGAAAATCTGGAAATGTTCCAGCTGGTACAACAGTTGATTTAGGAATAACACATCCTACAGAATTTGATTTTTTCTTATGTAGTCATCAAGGAATTCAGGTAATGATTTGTAATAGTAGTTTTTTTACTTGTACATATTGTGTCTTATAATAAAAAAAAAATATTATCAGGGAACAAGTCGGCCAAGTCATTATCATGTTCTATGGGATGACAACAATTTTGAGTCCGATGAATTGCAGTGCTTAACATACCAACTGTGTCACACTTATGCCAGATGCACTCGTTCAGTATCTATACCTGCACCGGTCTATTATGCTCACTTAGTTGCATATAGGGCTAGATTTCACATAGTTGACAAAGAACATGACAGGTAACATTATTAAATTTACTTTACATTATTTAATTATTAATATGTTTGTAAGTCCTTGGGGTTAATTTTTTTAGAGATGTTTATTCGATTCAAAATTATTTAAATTCTAAATTGGACTGGGGTTAAGGATGTTATTGAATTTACTGATGTACTATAGAAGTGTGTAAATATGGGTGTGGTATAAATATTATTTTAGTTTAAAATTATGAATTCAAACTATGAACAGTATCTATATTTGTATGTTGGCATTTATTTTACAATATTTTAATTTTTATGTTAATTTATGATTATATATGTACTTAAAAATGTTCATATTATATTAGAAAACATTTTAAAAATCGTAAAATATAGCCATTACAAGTAGTTAATGTTCAATTTATTTACAGCATAGGTAGGGATTTTCTAGGCTTTAAATTCTGAGCTGAGCAATGAATGTATTGGTTTTACAATAATGGCTGTTTTTTTTTTATTTATAAATCTGTCATCACTCAACACTTTTTGGAGCAATAAAAACACTTCAACTCTGAGTGTGGTTTCTGGAAGAAAATTAGATTTAGGGACCACTGGGAGGTCAGTAAAAAAAATGCCCAGTATTTTTTAAAATGACAATAAAAAACTAAAAACACTCGATAATTTTAAAGGTTCACCCTTTACACTATATACTCTATAGCTTTTAAAGATCAAATGCATTATGAAGATTTTATCATGTCTATAAAATGCAAATATTCTTTTTAATCACAACATGGTAATTAAATCAGCTTAGTTAATGATGTACATGAGACTTTTCAATTGAGGGAGGATGGCTTAAAAATTATTTCAGTTTTATTTTTTTTTTCCCCCTAATATAATAATTTTAGAAGTTTAGGTAAAGAATTTGAAAGTGTTTGTATAACTTCAACTTTTCAACTATTACAGTGGAAACAATGCTCTGATTTTAAACTTTGATAGACGTTTTTGGAGAAAATTGTACCCAGTTGGTGTACTTTTGGGAGGTCGAAATTAAAATTTCTAAGTTCTGCTTAGATAGTCATTGAATAATTATTATATTTTGCAAATATAAATTTTTTTTCTTGAAAAACGACGGTAAAAACAATAACGACAAATAAGAACAATATTATTTTTTAGAACCATTTAAAATTTTAATTTTGCCAAAACCAGAATTAATTTATAGTTCAAAATGTATACATTATAAGTCTTGAAAATATATATCTTTATACATATAAGTCTTGAAAATTCAATATGAGATAACTCATAGAAGTACCTAGTTCATACTTCCAAAAAATCACTTTTAGATCAATTTAGGAAAACAAGTATGCAAATAAAATATTTTTTGAAAAATGAATTCATGCTATCTACATTATCACTAATAAGAGCAATATAAAGATAAAATAAAATGTCCTACTCTAACACTCCACTTTCACTTCGATTAATTTTTCATATAAAATGATACAATATATCATCATCTTTTCAAATTAAACACTTCTATTACCGTGATCACTCGACACCTACAGTGCAGCAAACCAGTTTCCACTGTCCCATTTTTTATTTATGTGAATTTAATGCATATGAATTTACTTACTAGTTGTCTATACAGTTGAAAAAAATTAAGCGCTATGGGAGGGATACTTCAGCCTGTTAGGCCTCTAATACTCACTGTTAGCCCTCTAATACCCACTGTTAGCCCCCCCTGCATATGCAATAGGGCTTAGTCAAATCTGGTTCTGAGTAAATATTATGGATTGGATTTTGTATGTATTTTGGTTTGGATGTTTTTGAAGTGTTAAGTGTAATCCAAATAATACAATAATTTTCCTATATTAAAGTATAATAATTTTAGTTAAAAATGCATACTGACATTGTTTATAGAGAAGTTTATTTAGATCTTTATTTATCCTTAAATTAAAATACTTTTTTTGTATGTTACATAATAATTACACAAAACATAATATGTTTTATGAATTATTTGTGATAAAACTTTTTGTTTTTTAGTGGTGAAGGATCACAAACATCTAGTAGCAGTGACAATGGAATACCAGCTTCAATGTTGCAAACTATCAAAGTGCATGCCAATGCAAATAAAGTTATGTACTTTGCTTAAAATACCAAAATTGAGCATCGTGCAACACAGAATTTAATATTAGGTATATATTATAATACGACAACTTTGCAAAATACTTACAAAATTCTATTGTGATTAATAATAGCAATTTTATTTTATTTTTTTTATTTTACACATTCATATTGTACCTAAAGTATATTATTTTGTCTTATTAAAATACAAAAACTTTTTCTTTTGTGATTAAGTTATACCCAACATTAAAATGTGTACATGATACTTTAGAATATTATAAATCTTAATGTTAACAGATACAATTGCATATCAAATTTTGTTTAGTCAAGAGGCTCCTACAATTTTAGTGGTCGGCCTCCTTGACAAACGATGGTGTCAACATTTTCGGAATAAAAAAAAAAAATTAGATTTTTTTCTACTTAAATATTTGTCATTAATAGAGTTAGGATGTTGATGATCTGAAAAACACACAACAATGCAAATAAAACAAACGCAAAAATGCCCTGAAAAGTGCAAAAATGAATTAGAAATTTCAAACAATTACCTTAAAAAAAATTAAAAAAACTAATAAGTAAGTGAAAACAATTTATTTATAAATATTAATTTTTATTAGAGATTTGGGTATGAAAATGGGTGTAATAGTTATTTAAAATATGAATTATAAATTATAATATTAATAAACAATAGTATACATTTACATTTAAAGCATTATATAAAATTATTAAAAATAAATTAAACTTGGGTTAAACACTTGCTCTAATCTAAAATTTGAGAAATATGCCCACATTGTACAAAAACTACAAAAAATGAGTTAAACGATAACAAAATGACTTAAGAATGTTGAAAAATGACGTTAAAAAACAAAAAAATACATAGTAAAATTTAGATACTCTGCATCAAAAGAGCATGAAACAAATTTTATACGAATTAAATAATATCAGCAGGTATGATAACAATTGATAAATGATAAAAGACACACAAATACACAATGATAATGACAATATTTACAGGCGTCTCCGACGACCGCCTGGTTCCGGTCACGGATTAATAAAAAGTTATAGGTCACAGGTAAAAAAATAACAATTCTTAAAAACAGATATTAAACTTCAAAATATGTCCAGATACATTTTTTGTGTAGTGGACATTTGGCAAAGCATCACTCAGTTTACTCATTGTTTATTATTTTATAAGAAATTCAAAAAGTACAAATACCTTTTACTTTTTAATCAATATATAAGGTTTATAGATATTTATTTTAACTATTTTACAACATTTGAACACATATTCTTGTATTTATTTAAACTAGTTTTGCAGTTTTTATTTAGATTATTTTAGCACTTACTATAAATAAATGAATACATCACATAATTCACTAATAGTCAATGTCCAATAGGAGTATAC